TGAGCCAAAGTCAGACACTTAACCGACTGAGCCATCCAGGTGCCCCAGTAAACTTTTTGTTTTTAAATAAGACACCTACAGAAATTTTTCAAAGATAGTACAAAGATTTCCAATGTTTCTTCTTTTTCTCAGAGTAAGAAACCCATACCTATAATTCACTTGCTTATTTGTTCAACTCTAGTATACACATAAAATAGTTTAAGAATTATTATATCATACATCTATGAGAAAAATTTTACCAACTGGAGTACAATTTTTTTTGGCATTCTTTTTGTCTTTAGTCTTACAGTACTTAGACAAAATATTGGCTTCTAAAGTTATTTAGATCAGAGCCTTTTCCCCCATCCCACTCAGTGGTGTTATGTCACACATCTCTAATAGATTAATTTGTCAAGCTCAATCCCATCTCAGATTCCTTTGACACCATGGCCGATTTTTAAATTTGCATCCATTAAAAGTCACTCTTTGTTACGGAATGGATTCACAGTGCTACATCTCCTTCAACTCAGGACCTGCTATGGCCTAAAATAACTGACCATTGGTCTGGCTGATGTGTGTGGCTGACCCAGGTCTGACTGCAGGCTCCTTCTACACTGCGGTCCTTTTCATTCTCTGTTCTACAGCCACCTCGTCTCCTGTCAATTTCTACGGTACCACACTCCTTCTGACCAATATGCCTTTCACCCAGGTCTGTATTCTCTGCAAGAAATTTTCTCTGATTTATTACAGTCACCCAGTTACAGTGTTATTGTTTCATTTACCTTTTTATATTACATTTAGTGCAGTCCATAGTTTTATATGTACTCGTGTTTTTTATTTGGCAACTCTCCTCCCTCCACATTCATGCCGAGACTAAGCAGTCTATGAGAAAAGGAATTTTGACTATTGACTATTATGCCACAGTGCCTGATACACAGTAGACATGAACCAAATATTTGATGAGTTAATGGTTGAAGGAGAAATAAAAGTAACTACGCAGACAAGGGAGAGAAATTATTCCAGGGAGAAAAAGTAGGAATTATAAAAGCTTACAAGATGAGGAGAGCTTGTTACTTTTGTGAATCACCAAAGAGTTCATCGTGGCCAGAGATCAGTATGCACACAGTAAAGGATAGATAACCCAGAGAAAAGGTAGATTTGAGGACAGGTCCCAGGAAAATCACCTAAGGACTCTAGGGTAAAAGGAAACAAACACTAGTGAATAAACTTCTAATAAAACCAGGACTGAATAAACACATAAGCCTGTCAGGTAGTACAACTAATTTTTTTAATGACAGGTTCACTAATGTGTGTGTGTGTGTGTGTGTGTGTGTGTGGTGTATGCTGAGTGAGGCAAAGGAGGATAACTATTGCCAACAGCTTAATTCTACTGATCTAACAGAATTATACATGGATGAATAACCAGAACAAATCCAATTCAGATGATTCAGTAATATAGTCATTTAATTTAAGTTTTTCCACAGGTAAGAAATAACCAAAGTAGCTATTGTATGATAATGGTAAGCTATTAAAGAGCTATTACAATAAAAGGGAAGCAAAAATAAAAAGGTTATAGGGAAACAAAGACAGATGCTGGTATTCAAGGCCTTTGGAATGATGGTAAACATAAATGGCTGACAGATATGTTACTTGGTTTTCAAAGGAAAAAAGAGAACCATTGTGACACATTCTACAGGGACAGAGGGAACTATAACTTGAGGGACTATATTCATGAAATGATGCTATGCAAACAGTCTTTCTATTAGTCCCATATTTGTATGTTTTTATTATCTTGTTAAATAGAGACATAGGAGTTTAAAAATAGTTTGTAAATTAAGAAATAGGAAATCTGTCACCTCCAAATAGCTAAGTCCCAAGTTTACACCATCAAGTCAAGGGGAAATACATGCCTAAGATTTAATTCAAAGTTTAAAGGAAGCAAACGTGGGGCACCTGGGTGGCTCAGTCAGTGAAGCATCCAATCAGTTCAGGTCATGATCTCATGGTTCATGAGTTCGAGCACCACGTCAGGCTCTGTGCTGACAGCTCAGAGCCTGGAACCTGCTTCCAATTCTGTGTCTCCCTCTCTGTGCCCCTCCCCCTATCGCACTTGGTCTCTCTCTCTCTCTGTCTCTCTCTCTCTCTCCCCCAAATAAATATTTAAAGAAAGAAAAAAAGAAGCAGATGCAGGGCAAAAAATCAAAGAACCAAAAAAAGCACCTATATCGTTTTATATATTTGTGTAACTCTAATGCACAAATGTTGTAGGTGATTTTCTGCTGCCCTGAATGTAAAGTCCTATATTAATATCCCAGATAAATTTAATAGGAAGATTTTTAATCTTTTCTTTTTAAAAAAAGTTGTCAAATCTCTAATTCTGTGATAGTCGTATGATTTTTCCAATCTCCAATTGTCCTTAGAAAGAGATAAGGCAAATGGACTTATCAGTGTATTATCATGTGAATTAGAGTAACACACACACATGCACACACACATTATTGACACAGGGTAAAGCATAGTTCTTTTAAAATATTTTAGTTGCCTCTAATGTACCTTTTATATATGCTAAGGAGAGGGGGGACACTATAGTAAAACATGATTTTGTTGCTTTTAGCTGCCAATAATTGTACGTTTTAGTGATGGGTACAGATGGGAGAAAAGCAAGTGAGTTTTGCTCAGATAAAGTATACTCTGTTGCGAGCCTTCAGGTATCTGAATAATTTTACTATATCTCTGCCACTTTGAAATTAAGGAAGTGTGGGGTAGTTCCTGGGTTAGGTCTACAAAGGTCAGTTCTTCCTTCAATTATCCTAACTAACAATTGGCTAAATGGTCAAATAATCTCAGGGAAAGCCTGGACTCTAAGCTATTTTAAATGAGTACTGAGATTACTTCTGCTTATAGTTTTAAACTTAAAAATTGATTACTTACATATAAATAAAATAAACTAACTGCATTATTTAAGCAAACAGTAATACGATGTGGACCATGCCAGTTGATAAATATAATAAAGTAATATATTAATGTTGAGCCACTGAAATTCATTTCTGCAATGAATTATCAGCTCCTCTGTACTCTGGAAGGCCAGTATTCTTCTACATTTTATGCCTTGTGTTAGTATCTTTTCCTCTTGTTTCCCAAGAGCACGATCACAAACTCAGGTACAAGTCTCCGTTGCGCCAATAAAATCCCACTGAAGTCGGGTAGTATCCCTAACATTGGCCATTTGGAAAAAGACTGCATTCTTCTGCCTCAGCCTAAGTCTCTTTTCTCAAACAGATCTCTCACGACTGCTCTTCTCTTTTATAATGCATAGGCCTGGTCTCTACAACCCATAACTGACATGTTTGAGACATGTTTCTGTCATCTAGTTCATACGAAATTTGATCATAGATATATAACACAAGCTGGAATGAAGTCAAATCTCAACTCCATTATAAATGACTTGCCTCTAGTAAGGTGATTGTTTACATATAATCCATTCTTTGATATTAACTAGCTGTGTGACCTGGGGGTCAAAAATGCAAATCAAACTTTGTATTTCTGAGACACGTTAGAGAGAAGAGATTGTACATTATAAAATGCCATGCAAATAAAGGTAAGATTATAATTTAAATAGTTATAGGAAGAACTACCTTAGCTACTGTATATTCTATTTGTAGTAAATTTAACCAACAAACACTGGGTTTACAAAAAGCAAAATGTTCAATGCTAAGCTCTCTATGGTTGAGAGGATTTTGAAGATATATCATTGCTTCCATAGGGAAGTTTTATATTCTAGTTTGGGTAATGAGGTAATCCCAAATATAAAAGAATCCACTTAAACAAATAAAACTCACTGGTAGAATTTAAAATGCCCATTCCAAGGAGTGGGGTTAAAATGAATTAAAAAGGATAATGGATGTAGTAGGTGATAAATTTTAAGATGAATTATAAACTAGTAAGAAGGCATAGGTTAGTAAAGGTAGGCATAGAACACAGAAGTGGGAGAAATACTACAATTGTTTG